AGGTGTCATGGTGTGGGGTGCAATTAATGCTAGCTTTCGCTCTGACCTGGTTGTGATTCGTGGAAATCTCAACACCCAGCGTTACATTGACACAGTGTTGCAACCAGCTCTCATACCGTTGCTGAGAGGACGTTGACGTGGCGTTAACCAACTAGTGTTCCAACATGATAATGCCTGACCTCATACAGCTCACGTGACCCGAAATTTCTTGCAATAAAACAATGTTCAGGTGTTAAATTGGCTCTCTCGATCGCCGGATTTGAATCCAATAGAACATTTGTGGGACAAGCTTGGCCGTAGGGTTTGACGTCAGTTGCAAACACCAGACTGTCGGTGAGTTAACTCAAGCTCTGCAGGTGCAATGGGGGGCCATTCCGTAGGCGTTTATTTGAAGACTGTGCTTATCAATGTCTAACAGACTTCAGACATGCATTGTCGCCCAAGGTGGTTATTTAACTTTGAAGTTTGATTTCATACCTCCTCTATTTGAGATGCTCTCGTCATTGGATTTGCATTAAAATCTGAGAAAAACAACATCATTTTGATCTCCATTTCACGTTTCATGATCTTTTTATGTTATATCATGTGTGATATTATCACTGTCACATGATTTTGACTGGTGTGCCTTTTTAATGCCTCTTAGTATATATACAACTCTTTGGTTAAACTATTGTACATGTTTTTGTTGTTGAATTTAATTATGAGTATTGACTGTGAAATGTTTTCGGTTCATTGAGATATGAATAAATAAAACGATATGCAAACTGTATGAATCCTTCTTTTAGTAGATGATTATTTTCAGGAACAAATATTTTTCATATATTCAATGAGAATATGTAGCTGCCCATACCATGACAATCAGCAATCAAAAGAAGCAGGTAAGATGTATGTTCTGAGCTTTGAGATGAATATCATCAACAAACACTGGCCACAGCAGCAGAGATATGAATATTTGGAAACAAAATAAAGACATGTTAGGCATGAGACTTAATGATTAATTAATCCTCTAAACAAAGTGATGTGTGGACTCTTAGAAAGATTAGCACATCAATTAACCCTTTAATTAACCCCCTGAAAAGGTAACAGTTCTTTTTGTAACCTAGTTGTTTTGTATTCCTGGGTCATTAAGTATCTCTTTACCATCTATCATCTTTTTTTACTTTCTTTACAGAATTTTTACACAAAAAAACTGTTGGTAGGTGGAAAAAACAAAAAACAATTAATTATTTTTTAGTTTTCAGCTCCACTACAGGTTGGCTGGTATCAAAATATACACGGTAAATGGTTTAATATGGGGAGAGCCTGCAAAACAACTGTTGCTTTAAGCCATGCAAACCTGAATGAAGCTGGATTACTGTTGTGCATGAATGAATGCTATCAGTTTCAGGAAAAACAATAATCTTATTTTGACTTCCACATCAACTTAAGTGGGTCCTCGTTTAGAAAGTATTTTTTTATGCAATATATTATCTTATTGGCAGGTAAAAATAAAAGAGCAAAATCTTTAAAAAATTGTCCCATTTCAACAATATTTACAGTAAGCAGGTCCATAAAGTAAGTAAAACATATTGTGGCCTATCATAGGATAAAGCTTCAAAGTTTAATCATATTCTGATTTAAGGGGGTAGCCTAGCCATGTAGAACAAAAGATGATGAATACAATCTAAACGATATAACTAAAAGCACTTAACAAATATATACAACAATGGTAAACAGAGACTTCTCAGGGATTGAGTACCGGTATGTTCCCTTGGAAGTGTGAACAAGTTCTGTGGTGCTCGTTTTAGAGGTTGCTTTCATTTCATTTGATCTGCTCCTCTTTGGGACTCATGTGAGAGATGCATTCAAGCAGGTGACCACCTTTCAAAGATAGTTTGACCTTTGTTATGGTATCTCTTGGATTTAGGAGATATTAGGCACACAGGGAATCTTACTGTAATTACCATTTTAAGTGATCCTGGACAGGGGCATGGTCTTGACATTTCAGTAACAAGTGAGTGATGGATTCCATCTGATTGCAAGATGGGCATACATTGTCTTAGTATTTTTTGCGACGAAATCTGAGGATTTGATGTAATCGAAATCCATCAACAGTATCCATTTTTTCATGAGCACCGGATATAAACCCATAATGTATATTATTATATCATATAATAGTCTTTAATTGGTCTTGCTTCAATGTTTTGAGAGTATACATCAACCTTATTAAATGTATATTATACGGCATAAATATCTTGAGAAATGTTGTCAAGGGTTGCAACTGATGATACTCCCACATAAATAATACTGCAACGTTGACGCTCGTGTTTCTTAAGCCATTTAATCGATAGACCTGGTAATATTTCGAAGGCAACTACCGGTGCATCTCCAAACAAGACTTCAATAATAATTGTAGAAAGAGCAGGCAAGTTCTGTTTTATATTATTGAATTCAGTAACCAAATTTAAACTAACATTTTGTTATGCCGGACGACTCAATAACATATGACCTGGATTTTCTGGCAGGGGAGAGACTAACACACTTTTTCGTTTTGATGGGATATAAGCCCCGAGTACAATCCCACTATTTATTATCTTAGTTAAATTATGTGCCTTACCCATCATCACATAAGGTGGGTTAATGACGATATTCAGTAGCCACTTTATTTTTGCTTCGACTATTTCTTTCCGCTTGTATACATTAGCTTGTAAGTGTAAAGTGTATAACTTGCCATCGATACCTGGTTTACCAAATCCTTCTGTGTCTCCGAGATCGGAAAGCGCAATTGTATTACATTGTCTGAGTGTTCCAGGGCCTGATGAACCAACCATTATTTATAATATGGAGTGTTACACTCAAGTATCCTATATGTACAGGTTGGTGTTTTAAATCTAATACAGAAATTTTGAGGTCTGAAATAATACCCCGCTTTAATTTTTTTATATTGTAATGATGAGAAAGATTCTGTTCTATCGCTATTATATTTTTCATCTTTGACTGGAATAGCTCTCAGCAGAGTTGAAGGACTTTCGAGTTGAATATTATCCGTCGTACTGATCTGATATAGGGAACTAAATCGGGCAATTTAATTCCATGCACTGTTGTGTTGGATTGTATTACTATTATTCCTTCTACTTGGCTAAAAAATCCAAGTGTAGCTGATATGTTCGGGAAAAACCTTACATACTTTTCTCCAGCGCTAAAAATCAGCATCCCATTTGACTTATTTTGTGTGAGACTAGCTCCAAAAGGCTTAAATAGGTATAATAATGGGAGTGCTTCCTCTACTGTCAATATCAATTAGTTGTATCTTATTATTATTTCTCGCAGCACTTATATTGGTCCACTGCGGGTAATACGTTACATCGCATAGAGCTACTTCAAGTTGACCAGCCGAGTTATCAATAGTATGAAGCAGTTGAATAGACTGACCATTTCTTATTCCTGGGAGTGTAACATACATATTAAATATACAAAGATACTATGTCATAACTTAAATATGAAATCAACTTACATTACTAATCAGTCGATTTTAGTAAGTGCCTCTGGTGCTAAGTTTTTCGTTAAATTTCCTGATATCTTACAGGGTCATGGCAACTAGCGATAAAATGGTGCATGATTGGTTCCACAATCCAATGCAATTTTGGCAGAATCAGTTAAACTTTGCCATATGGTGTGCCACAACAGGATGTGGTGTATCTCTTTATGCCGCTGGCTTTGAACTATTTCTAGTGGCCAATCAGCAAGTTGGAATTTTTTTAGAAAATGCTACGATATGTTTGCTTCCAGACTTGTACATATTTATTGAAAATCATTCAAATATAACTCATATTGTCAACAGTCTTTACAACTTCCGGTTACTCGTATACATATTCTGGCAAACATGCCGCCTTCTGCAGAAAATATATGACTTAATTGTTGTTAGTTAATTAAACAAAAGGGTGAACCTGGAGCAAGAGTCATTGTATAATGAACTGTCACTTCTAATTGAATGAAAAATCCATATTGATAAGATTTAATTTGATATGGTCGGATACCCGGTTTTTGATACAGTACACACTACACACTACAGACGGAAATAAGACAGCGAAATTGACGAAAACACTGGAATGTAATTGAATATCAAATACAGTTTCTACTGTGTGCAGACAAAATATCTCTGAAAATTTGCAAAATCTTATCACACACAAAACAATCTCATTGCTTTTGGACCAGGAGGGATTTTCTCTCATAGGTACAAAATTTCCAGGATAATCCTTTCTTTAAGGTAAATAGATCAAGGCAACAGACCTGTTTTGAAGTCCCACTAGTTATGACATTACTCCCTAAGCAGGAGTGAAATCAATGCAATCAGCAGTGGTTTAACTGCCTTATTAATGTAACCAGTGGAAAAGGTATTACTGGTTTTAAATTGTACTGGATTGGGCATGTGGATCCCCAAAAAGAAATGAAGTGTTGTCATTACAGTTAAAATGCCTTTAATGCCTTCCTTATATGATGTTGTAGTATGCATACATGTTCACCAAACCAAAGATAAAGAATGGCATGACACAGGAAATGCATGATGGTATGTAATAGTTTCGGATAACTTCAAGAAATGGACTCTTTTCTTGTTACTATCGGTATCTAGCATCACGATCAATAAGAAAGAGTTCTTAATGTATGGTCACATGAATATACTAGAATCGGAGCTATCAGGAAAATATGACTGAGTAGTCATTATTCTTTTTGTCAGCATATGCAACTAAATATGCCACAAAAGGTTCTATAAAAGATTGATAAAAAGACCCTTTGTATCCAATTATTTGCTGTAATATGCTTTGCATAAAATATTTAGTTTTTCACATCCTTGTTCACTCTTGACATGCTGTATCACTGAATAAAGGTGAGCTTCTGTACCTGTGGTACTCTGATTAACTTTGAAATTACAAACCTGCATGTACTTCTTTCGAATTATATATGTTAGATTGTGAGATAATGGGAGCCAAATGTTTATATTTTTATCTAATCTATGATCACAGATCTGTGGCAAGATTCCACTGACAGACTGCACATTGGTTGAAGACCCTAGTTCAGATGTTTTCTTCTTTGATGAGGAAAGTGAGTACCATGCCTTCTCCACCATTGGCTTTTTGTGCACTCTACTAGTTCTTTTAATTCATGTTTCATGGTTTCAATGACCACCTCTGTTGTCAAATGGATAGAGCACCTCCCTGGAGAGTGGAAGGTTGGTGGTTTGATCCCCAAACCACATCAAACCAAAAGATGTTTTAAGATGGTATTTTTTGTTACCCTGGCACTAAGTGGTACTGGTCAGAGTGAGTAGACTGGGTGTAATTGGGGTTTCATGTTAATTTGACATGGTATCTCAGAGAGCTAGTATGTAAATTCTATATTTTTGTTTGTGCAGTGATAACATATATTTTCCTAGCTTCACAACGTCCCCTGCCATGTCCTGCCATAAATACATTTGCTCAATATCCACTTACGTATACATATCACTTATTCTCCATAGTAATTCCCAGCTCACTTCCAACTCCCCTCACGTAAACAATTCTCTGTATCATGTTACATTTAAGCTATCCCACAATACACCATTTTATCCTCTGCTCATGCCCAGAACTACGGACATGACATCACAATGTTTTCTTATATTAACCCAAACAGTCTCGATATCATTTACATATTTCTGTCATTGTTTATAGCAGCTGCAGCGATAATCCTTGACAATCCCACGCAATCCATTGTTATCAGACAACATCCGTCAGCTACTCATGCTTGCATGTGGCTTTGACACCTCATCATGGCTGATAAACGATCCAACAAAGGCAAGATCACAAGATCAAGTTCAGCAACCCCGTTAGAGTTAACAACAATGGTTTGACCACTCAACCCGATCAAGATGGCAGCCGACCTGTACGGAACCGTGTCAACTGAAGTGAACCTTATCGCACAACTGCTGATTTACAGGAGTTATTGGTCAGACAAGGAGTTCATGTACCGGCATCATGGAACAGACGATTTTTGCTGCAGTTGCTTAATGAGAACCTACGCCATAGGTCTCTGGGGGACAGTACGATTACGACATCTGCCAACCATTCCCACCCACTCCTGGCAGCAGAGTCTACTCGCATGCAGATAACAGACAACGACGTAAACAGTCCATCCTTGCATCCTGACATGTTGATGAACATGCATGATCATGAGATCATCCAGACAGGTCAGACAACCGTGCATAGTGCCCCCCCTAGACAGTTGAATCACTGCAACGTGAGATTGCTGAACACCAGTTAATGGTGTATTGACGCTGTCAACAAACCCCCAGCCATTCACAAGTCAACCAGACAGAAAGTTGCAACTTTACAGGAATTAATCCTATCACCAATTCCCCAGGATGGATGTGCCATCAGATTCCCTGCCACATATCAACACAGTGGCACCAGCAGTTAAGAAGAAGATTCAAGAGGGTAAATACTGCAACTTAGCATTGTTACTTCTACCCACCCAAGATGCTGTAGAAGCCAGGGTGTCGGAATTTGATGGGAATGTGTACCAACTAAAAGATGACCTCAGGACTAACACATCACTCACTTGGGGAAGTTTATTCAGGCCTTCGGAATATCTATGGACGTGTACTGTGAGCATAACGATGCTAAGAAGAAACAACTTGATGACTTGAGCAAACTGTCATTGAATTGTCTACTATTTATCATGTTTATGGTGGTACGACACATTATGACTATCATAAACTATTCGCATCAAGAGTGGCATCGTATGCTGAGAAAGGAGTACACATAAGATGGGATATGCGTGACCAACGCCTGTACAGTTTGTGTTCTTCAGGACTGCGCTCTCGAGCATGTGCCGTATGTCACAGTATCACTCATAGAACGGAACTCTGTCCCAACATTGTCGAGAATTCCTATCGGAAACCACCCATAAAGCAGGAACGGATTATCATATACGACAGGAAAGCAGGTGGCGGCATGGACTTCAGGGGCAGACCATGAGTTAAGAAGTATGGGAAAGAAGTGTACAACAATTTCAATGATTTGGGGGTGTTCACGCAATCCATGCCCCTTCCTCCACATGTGTTTGGCTTGTAATTCCGAGAAACATGGCCACAAGACCTGCAAGCCTGAGAACAAGAAGAAGAATCCAAAATGACTGTCTGATAATGTGCAGCATGGTATGCATCATTTCCCCCTATCAATTAGACCTTACGCCTGTCAATGTGGAAGCGCTTAAACATGAACTGCTACTACATCCTGACCAGTCATTTGCAACCTACCTGATGCAAGGTTTAAAGCACAGTTTCAATCCCATGATCGAATCTATCCCGCAGGAGACGGTTGAGTGCCGAAATAATCTCAGTGCTAGGAAGGAACCTTTATCCGTGTCCGAGGCTGTTCAGAAGGAAGTTGATCAGGGGTACGTTATCGGAGCTTTTGATGTATCACCTTACCCCATCTATAGGGTCAGCCCTCTTGGTCTTGCCGAGGGCAAGTATTTGAAAAAGAAGCGCCTGATATCGGACTTATCAGCCCCTCATGACAATGTAGACATATCTCGTAATAATGGACTTATAGACATGATAGATAAGGAGTCATGTTCATTATCCTATGTGACAGTAGATCTGCCATCTCAGTGATCTTACAGCTTGGTAGGGGTACCCAGATGTGCAAAACAGACATTACTGACGCATTTAAGCAAATCCCACTGAACCCAGACTATTGGCCCTATTTCCGTTTCTGCTGGGATGAACAGTATTATTTTTACACCATTCGGATGTAGATCAAGACCCAAGATTTTTTACACCTTGTCACAAGCCTTATGCTGGATACTGGAGCACAACTACGGGATCCAACATGTACTACACCTGCTCGACGACTTCCTGGCTCTTGACCCACCGGGATACGATGCTAATCAAACTCTGCAGACCATCCTGAAGGTGTTCCACAAATTAAATATTCCACTAGCAGCCCATAAGACCCAAGGACCTGTTACTGTCGTTGAATATTTGGGCATCATATTAGATTCTGACACAATGACTGCACGCCTTCCAGAGAAAAAAGTGACTAGAATTGCTGAGATATTATTAACATTCTCCAGACAAAGAAAGGGTACCAAGAGAGAACTGTTGTGGCTATTGGGACATTTGAATTACACCTGCCGTGTTATTTTGCCTTGGAGGTCATTTGTGTCATACCTCATCCACAACAGTGACTAAGTTGCACCATCACGTCAGCTTATCAAAGGAATGTCGGACCGATCTCACCATGTGGAACAAGTTCCTCAGAAGCTGGAATGGCATTTCTCTTTTCCATGACAAGGTAGTGACTGACACACAAGACTTTAATCTATTCACTGATGCAGCAGCCACAGTTGGACATGGAGGCTACTTTCAAGGTGCTTGCTTTGCTGAGAAGCATCTTCCCGAGGCAAGAGGGTTATATGACTTTAAAAGTCCAGTTTCCACCCTTGCCGAACTATGCTGGAATTACTGGGCTCAATCGTAGCGCCACCAGTGTCTATTACCAGTTATGCCACTTCTAAGCCTCTCCTACGGACCATTCAGATTACACCCCTCATATCACTTGCGTTCGCTTCACACAAAATGGTGGGACTCAGTCAGGGCGATCTGATCGATAATCAAGATCTATATTGTGATAAAATGGGTCTTATATCACGAAATGCATCAAATCACGTGAGCACCCTAACTAAAAACATGAAAAGATTTGCAAAATATCTGCTGACGAGTTGGCGCTGCACATTTTTTGCAAATCCTGCAATCGACCAAAATCTGCATGACAGTTTACAAACCGGATTTCGATTTCGGTGCGCAATTTTGATTGGACTATGCATAGACTCGTTAGTCCAGCCAAAATGTAACTCCATAATCCAAGCCTAGTTCAGCAAGGGTGGAAACTGGACTTTTATAGTCAGTTAACTCTCTTGCCTCCGGAAGATGCTGAGAAGTGGCCTTAGATTGTGATTGACTTTTTAGCCACTGGCACATCTATGGCATTCATGGAACTTTATCACATAGTGGTGTCTGCTCTCCTCTGGGGTCATCTTTGATCTAGAAAGCGAGTTATGTTCAATTGTGACAACCAGGCTACAGTGTTAATTATTAAGAAGGGCAGGTCCAAGTGCACCAACATCATGTCTCTCATGCGCACACTTACATGGACAGCAGCAGTTCACAATTTTGTCGTCTTGGCTAAACATGTACCGGGTGTTCATAATGACATAGAAGATTCCCTTTCTCGGTTGCAGTTCAAGAGATTTCAAGCCCTGGTTCCACAAGCAGACGTATCACCACACCAGTGCCCACCCAGCTCTCAGGTCATGTGGACTTAAACTACTACCTCTATCACCTGTGGTCAGCAGCCATCAGCCAAGGTACCAGGTCTGCCTCCAATACTGGCTTCAACTGCTACATGAACTTCCTCCTGAAGTTTGGTCTTTTCTGCACCCTATCAAGATTCATATTGCCCCCAGTTAACAAGAGCTATCTTCAGTATTTCATCGCTCATTGTTTTGGTGTGCTGAAACTGCAACACTATACAGTCAAAACATATCTAGCAGGCATACGTTTCAGTTACCTGCAAGCTGGAGTGACAACTCTGTTCGATGAGGCCAGTTCTGGAGCCTTGAACAGACTACAAGCCTTGATGAGGGGTTTCAAGAAACTGCAGACAACTTCTTCCAGGAAACGCCTTCCTATCACCTATCCTTTATTAAGTAAGATCGTGTACCAACTCTGTGCAGGTATCTTCGGACCTTATGATGACTTTGTGATGGAATGCATGTGTGTAACAGCCTTCTTCGGCTTATTCGATGTGGAGAATTCACCTGCTCTTCTAAGTTCGATCACCGAGTTCATATTAGTATGAGCGACATTGAATTTGATCGTTATAAGAGAAAATGTGTCCTAATGCTGAAAGCTTTTAAAGGGGAAGTGTACACGCAAAAATCACTTTCTTTCTTTTTCTAAACAAAACGCAATTTTAGAATTAATTAGTATCTGTGTTTGAAAATATACACTCATTTTTTTCACAGTGAAAGTAGGAAGCTCACAATAGTGTGAAAATGATATGCCGTTATGAGGCCTTCGTTTTTCGAGCTAAACAGGCCTGAGTTATCCCCCTTAGATTATGACGTAATTGGTGCCAATTCAACTGGGTCCCTGTCTATTCTCAACGCAAAAGATATCAAGTACCAGTTTGCGGTAAAACAACATGGCCTACGACACACTCCGGCGCAGTGGTGACTCAGCATAACACTATGCTGGCTGGCATCTGAGACGCTAGAATCACACACCTAGACCTACACCACGTGAAGCTGCTCTAACAAAGCATGATGACGTCATAATGTTTATCAATTGGCACCAATGACGTCATATTGCAAGGGGCATAAGCCATGGTGTTTTTGTTGTGGAAATAGAACACTTGGTAAATGTGAAAAATATAAATCGTTTTAATGCGATAAATATGTTAATTAATTGTGATATTTTTATATTTTTGTCTATGACACTTCTAGGTTAACACTTTTAATGTGGAAAAAGTACAAGAAAAATAGGTTAATTTCCGTGTGAACTTGCCCTTTAAGACCGATCCCTTCCGGAAAGGAGTACCCATTTCCCTGTTTGGCAACAGTACTGGTATTTGTCCATATACTTGCTTGAAGAGATTTCACATTCGCACACAGTGCCAAGCCAAGCCTTCAGATCCATTGTTGGTCAAATGCAACCTTGCACCCATCAGCAGAGCTTCTTTCCTGTACTGGCTGAGCGTAGCCTTAGCTAGGACAGGTCTGGATTCCAAAGAGTACTCCGGACATTCTTTCAGAATTGGTGCAGCTACTACGGCTGCCAGTGCGCACATCGAAGACCACCTCATCAAGACGATGGACCGTTGGAGTTCAGATTGTTTTACTCGATATATACAGACTCCAGAAGCCACTCTGAGAGATCTTTGTGTAGAATGTAGACTTGTCGTTACTACCGACTCTTGTGTTACTGTGTTACATTATGCAATCTGTTGATAGCCTACTGTCCTTTAAAGTAAAGGAGTCAGCGTTCCACTAATTTTTAAGGACTATGTGTCACGCCTTTATCTTTGTGTACCATGGTGACTTTCTTGTGTTTATACTTTGACTGTAGTCTATTCTATGCTGGACATATGTTTTTAACTCTGTGATGATATGTGCGGGCTTAGGCCCATATCCCTCGTGCAGTCTTTACAAGACTGTGTACTTTGAGACCCTTCATCACACCTTAGACTGTGTTAGACTTACCCTGGTGTGTTTAGACCCATTTGGTCAATTTTTTTCTCAATCATCAGCGTATAACTGTGGATTACATTCATCGGACTCCCTCAATTCTTCTTTTATTTGTGTTTGAACATGTATTCTTCCAACTTATTTTTGTACATTCCATGTGTAGATTTTAATCTTCTCTAATTCCATCCTTTGGGGTCTCTCTGTTGCACACAACCTCATATAGCTTTCACAAGTCATTCCATGCCCTGCATACTGTATAGGAATGGCTTGTGGCCCCCAAAGTACCTTTCTTCCAAATTTACAGTCCAGGGCCTGCACGGTCTCAGGACTTGTTCATTCCCCGCAGGGTAACTAGCATTTATTCAATCAGGTCGACACGACCCTTACCTCTTCATTCGTACCCGCAGGTTTTTTCATTCATACCCGCAGGGTATGTCTTTTTATGTAGCAGCAACCGAGTAGCCCCCAAATATATTGCCAATGTTATTGATAAATATTTTCATGAATCCTATTGTTTTGTTGTTACCGCACAAAACTATAAAACTGGCATTAGTCTGGACAAGTACTTGTAGCCACACACTCATGGGCATGCATGTCTCTATGTAAGTGCAATACTCTCTCACCTCATGTCACCTCACGGTTCAATATTTTCTTCATTGTAAAATACTGTTTTTGGAGTATGAATTCACTGGTTCTATGTTGTCAGTCAGAACATGCAATATGACATGTTGATCACCTGTAATATTTGGCTTACCATATTTTCTTGATGTAGCCAGGTCCACTTTATAGTCACAACACACATCACTTGAATTTAATGTCTGTTTATTAGTAGAATTACTTATAAGAATTTGTGAATTACAGGGTTAGATAAGGGCGGCAGTTCACTAGCCTGCCTCTGACAAGAAAACCTGAAAGCACAAAAAAACAATTAGATAATGTCTTAGCATCAGATAACTAACAAATATATTCTGACATTCTAGTGTAGCTAAGCTAAATAGTATTAATGACAACACAATTCAAAGTACCAGCTACATAATCATGATAATACCAGTAAACATTACATACTGGTTAAAATAGCCTGTGAAATATTGAAATAGAGCATAACGCCTTAACCTATAAGACATCTAATCTAGTACAGCTAGGCTATATAACACAAATAACCAAGACAATTCATCCCTCTCAAAGTACCAGAAAGATAATGGCAACCAATATTACGTATTAGTTAAGTGGCTTGCACAATATTGATACAGAGCATAACGCCATAACCTCTGTGACATCTGACCTTTGGTGCTGATATTCATCTACATGAAAGTTTAGGCATATAACTTCCATAAAATACCCGACAATACTACCATGACTAGAGATATACTTACTTAAGGATGCTATCTGATAATATACATCAACATTCAGTCACGAAAATTAAATGCCATCTTGCTACAGACATTTAACTCTAATCATGCGAGCTAAACATCAGGCATGAGGTGTCATCTACTCGGGTGCAGGCTAAAACGGCACCTCAGCAAAACGTCACCGATTTCTCTGGCGAAAACGGCACCGCATTTGGCGAAAACGGCTACTATGTGTCGGGCGAAAACGGCACCTCTATTTTTAATAACGATAACAACGATTTTTGTGGTAATATATATGGTTTATTTACATGGTATTTGATGTATAGGGTACATCTGAAGCCGTAATGTGAATTTCAGATAGGTTTGGTACTCTCATTTCTTCAGCATCTTCTGACTGGAAACTGACATCAAAGCGTATAGTGAATAAAAGTCGGTGAGTAAATTGGAGTAGGGGGCTAATTTCTTATTTGTTTTATTTCACAATTATTTGTGTTTGTAAGAGACGATGTGAGTTTAATTTCTATTATCTTTCGTCAAAGCATGTTATGTTTTCACCATACGTTGAGTTGCGTATAAGCTAAGTTGGATTATAGTTGGAGCAGAGGCTAATTTCTAATGTAAACTTGTTTTAACATCTCACAATTATTGGCCTTTGCAAGTTACAATGTAAGTTTAATATCATTTATTTGACCAAGGTAAAAAAAATAAGGTGCCGTTTTCGCTCGAGTCGAGGTGCCGTTTTCGCTTGAGTCGAGGTGCCGTTTTCGCCAATCGGTGCCGTTTTCGCCCGGTGACGTTTTGCTGAGGTGACGTTTTCGCTATAACCCATCTACTCGATATACATAGCTGTGTGCCTCATTTACCGGCAACACAGCAGTACACTAGTCAGTCTGATGTCTTACATGGTGCAGTTAACTTGTGCTGATATCTACTTATACCAATAACAACACAGAAACAGTTTCTTACAGTGTTTGCCATTATCAATGAACTCGTAAACATACAAATACCGCTAACGTAAGGCGGGAAAATTGACCTTGCGGTACCCAAAAGTCTAACTTTATGATAAACACTAAACTATCCTGTAACAATGTAAAATACCTATGTACATGGTCCCAACACATCATTATTTAGCAGAGGAATAAATTTAGTGATTATTGAAATGCTTACTTGGAATATCTTGAGGCAGAAGGTGAATCAAGCGGCGTGCTTGGTGATGGGTGTTTTATCAAAAAACTCGGCCAGGCAATAACAACCAAAATGTGAATCTTAGTTTGTGCGGAAACGGAATAAGGAAAATATTATTAAAACTTAGATTTCACTTGCTCACATTGAGTATAGTATGCACCCGAGTATAATGCGCATCCCCCTCTAGCGGATTCAGTATTTTGGAAGAAAAAATATTTGAATATTATGTGCAGAAAAAAATACACTGTACCCCTTCAGCGAATTCCGGTAAACGAACGGGTGATGAGAAACTTGGTCAGTACAAATTTGAAATTTAAGATAAAAGATCACCAGACATGTTGAATTACCATTTAAATTGTATTTTTTGTTCTGCTAGGCCTTGTTTTACATCCAGGGATTAAGATTACCTTGTGTATTTTCTCGTAAACTAAGCCGGAAACAGCAATCAGCTGTACACACGTTTTCTTGGAATCTACCGGTGATTCGGTTAAGACACACCCAGTGACATAACTTTATAGGCAGGCCTCAAAGTTTAATTTTTTACTCAGTCGCCATATGGCTACAAGTATTTTTTTCCAGGTAGCCAGTGGTAAAATCAAGAAGTCAAGCCAACATTGTAGGTAGCCAAATTATCTTTAACCAAATAACTATTAATATGTACAAGTCATAGCACTTGTCTTCGAATTGTATATTAGTGGAAACTGTGCTAGACTTTTGTTACTTGTGACTCGAAGAATGATACAATTTATGTTCCTAGATTAGCATTGTCAACTGAAATAAAGTACTAACAACATTAATATGTATGTATTTCGTTTCATTGTCTACTTTAGGAGGAATTATTTGCGAGAATAATTATTAACAGACATGTTTTTCCCGATCAGCTGTCGTTTATTTTTGTGTCTACAGACGTGTAGCAACAGAATTTAGTCGCCACAAGATATTTTTCAAGGTAGTCATTTGGCTACCTCTGAATTTTAGACAGTAGACAAACTGACATTGAGGTCGCATTTGCGACCGTTTTAGTTGCAACTTTGGGGCCTGACAGGATTTTAATGCAAGGATCGGCAAAAATTGTATCTGAAACTATTTTTTTATCAGGAATAATGTATTCAAATATCTTGTTATTTTAGT